TAAGTGTACAATTAGATCTGACTCTATAATCATATATAAATGGTATATATATCTTAACAATATGAAAAGTTAAAAAAAATAGTAGCCTATGTTTCTTGCGTTTTAATTGAACTACAACAAAGTTGATAGTTCTAGTAAGGGATAGATCGAGGGGTGCAACTTGGAAATATAATTTTTTTTATATTTTAGATATTTTTTTTGTATTTTATATGAATTATTTAATTTTGTATTATTTGAGATTTTATAATCTCGCACTCCTTAAAGTTTTAATATAATATTTTATATTCGCACCCTTTGATATAAATTTTTGCGTCTGTCCCTAAGTCTAAGTCTAAATTTGACGGACAAATAATGTTTTTAAGTTAAGCCTTGCGTTTCTAAACTAGTAGTAGTGCACTTATGACTCAAGATAAACTTAAGGTATTATAAATTTATATATTTTTATTTAATCATTTAAGATATGAGTTTCTTTTCAAATAATTAATCTTGTTTTAACATGTTGGTAATTAGGATATGAAGTTTGATCATGAGTCAAACATAATATTACATATAGATATGGGTAAAAATAATCATTTGTTAAAAGAGGTGAATTTTAAAGCTAAATATTTAGCTTAATAATTAAATATTATTATTTTTGGCTTACAACAATTATAGATATAAGCAAAGAAAACAAAATTTTCATTTGTGATAGAGAGATATGTACAACATTTTCTTTATTATTTTAGTTTGTATTTGGTTCTCTAACTCTAATATTATAAATACATTTCTTTTAGGGTAATTTTCTTTTCTTCAATAACAAAGCTCCAAATAAGGAAGGTATATATATCGAAGATCAAATTTTAGAATCACATTTTATTGGATACAAAACCAAAAATAAAACTTTCGCTATAAATAATCTTTTGAATTGTCAAACAAATGGAGAATGAAGATATTTTAATGTGTTTACATCATCCCATTTATCACAGGCAGGCAATAGGAAACTTCAAGTCCGAGTTATCATATTTCAATGCTTCTACAAAAATTTGGTGTACTTTTATTTGTAACACCCATAACACCAATATCTACACCAACTCTTACATAAATGGTTATGTATATCTAAAAATAAATATACAAAAGTTTTACTAAACTTATATAGAAACGTAGAGCAAAAAGATATCAATCACTTGAAAAGATTTATAATAAATATCATTTCCTTACCTTTCGATACAACTAATCATCATAATAACACTAGATATTACAGATTACCTCGTGAACTTGTATCTTTCCTCGATAATGCACCGATGCTATGTGACACCGAGTTCCCTCAGTAACTAGTGTTTGATGGCTATGTGAGACCAGATACTAGTCAGGTTTACATCCAGATAATGCACCATATGTCTTGTTTGCATTCAAATAATGCACAAAAATATTTAGAAAATTAAACAAAGCTGAATAATTGATGTCAACGACATATGATTGGCCATTAAAGAATTGGTAGAACATGCATAGGGGTAAGATCTCGAGATCAACATATTCGTCGTGGTGTGTGAACCAGAAAAAAATTAAGTAAATGTGATCCTGATGTTAGTTTTGGAAAAATGTTCAATATTTATTAGATTTTGTTGTATTTATATTTTGGATGAAAAATATATCATATAAGTAAAAAAATGGTTGTCCCTTTTTTCCCATAATATGTATGGGGTAAGGGGGAGGTAAGATAGTAGGTTACCCCCAACACCAGGTTGATAGCAACTTCCGTAAGAGACCTCTGAATTATGAAAATGCCCTCCGTGGGACTCAATCCCACGACCTCAAAGTTAAGAACCTTGTGCTCTACCAACTGAGCTAGATGGTCATTTCAAAAAAAAATAATGATTATTTTAAAAAAATATATCATATAAGTATATTTTAAAAAAAGTTTACAATAATGATTATTCTTTGGATTGTAAAAAATTTACATATAATTATTTCCGGTGAAAATTTTACACATTTATGATTTGGAACAACGAGTTCATTTAAGTACTAATAATTTTTATTGGAATTTGTTTTTTTCATTCCAGTAATACAGATAGAATCAAGCTTCAGTTCACTGAATTTTGGTCGGTCCCAAGTGACTAAATCAGCAACTTCACTAGGAATATTTTGATGGAGTATCACATAAACCGGGCATCCTCTAGTCATTGCAGTAAGTTTAGCCGCTACCATATTAGTCTCTCTTCCGATATGATATATTGTTGCCTTTCAATCCCTGTTGAAAATCTCTCGAATCAAAGTGGTAAGCATGTTACCGTCCATCCCATTAGATGAGTTGTTAAGAGGCTTCTCCGCCATCGCATTATCTGTGTCCATTTCTAATTTTCTAATTCTTATATTCCAAGCATCATGAATTACCCAACATTCCGCATTCAAAACCGAGCATATGCCTAGACTCCGAGAGAATACAAACATCCATGTACCTTGAGAGTCCCACAAAACACCCCCAGCAGCAGCCATGTTTCTCGTACCACCCACCGGCCACCGATCCATCAGTATTCGCCTTCACCCAATTCGGTGCTCGTTTCTTCCATCTAACCTCAGTTCGTGACACAGTTCTAACTTCTATTCACTGGTCTAGAATCAGCAGCTACCACGACCTCGTTTTTTAGATTCATACCTTGCGTTAATAATTTCTCACGCTCAACATAATCCGCTTGTAGCACAATGCTACAACGACGTTTCCGGATCTTCCAACAAATGATGGGAAACAAAAGATCTCAATGTAAACTAATCAATGGGAAATCATCTTGCCCTTTCACGTTGGCTAACATCCAAGTTGTATTCCGTAGAGTCATAAACAACTGAAATTTATCTGCATCAATTAACCTGCGCCAGATTTCAAAAGCAAAAAAGACACCTGCAAAATACATGTATCATATCTTCAACATCACCTTGCCCTTTCACGTTGCCTGGTTTGTCAAAGAACCATGGTTGTTATATGTTTGTTTTGATGATTTTTATCTTTTATAATCAATAATATATATATATATATATATCATTTAATTGTTATAGTAAACGGTATATTTAAATACTTTGATTCCAATACTACCTCATAAATAAATGAGGATAAATTACACATTTAATACTTAAACTATCAATTTTGTTCCGTTTTAGTGCTTAAACTTTTAATTATTCAAAATTATACCTAAAATTTAGTTTTTGTTTCATTTCAGTAACCCACCGTTAAAAACTTAATGCATTTAGTACCTAAACTGTCAATGTTGATCCGTTTTATTACCTAAACTTAAAAAAAATTCAAAACTTAACGTTAGATTTTGAGTATGTGTACTAAAATGAAACAAAAATTAAACTTTACGTATGATTTTGAAAAATTAAAAGTTTAGGTACTAAAACGAATCAAAATTAATAGTTTATATAGTAAATACGTTAAGTTTTTAATGTTGGATATTAAAATGAAACAAAAACTGAATAGGACAAATTTGGCCCAATAGGCTAGGCGAGGGAAAAAATTAGCCCATTATGCCTTCAAAATTAATTTGGATTCAACATCAAATGATATTGTGCATGGCAAATACGTCATGCCCACTACGAATTTGGTCAAATAATAATTTTTTATTCAAACTCGTTACAGTGAGATTAGGAGTTCAAATAAAATATAATTTTTTATTTTTTTTTTCATTTCGGAGTGACAAATTCCAAAACAAATACATTTTATTATAACTCATAAACTCGACGTGACGAGGTCCAAGTCATCCTTAGTTCTCAAAATAAAAAATCTGGTATTATATTGGGCTAAATAATTAACCCGCATATGTTATTGGGCCAAAATTGCCACTGAATAGGCACTAAGCCCAACTAAACAAAACAGCGTTGGCGCGCACTGCCCCCCTTCGTCTGTGATCCACTTCTCCTTATCCGTTCCCTCTTCTTCGTTCGATAATCCCTGAACCTCAGCATCAAACAGAGCTCACATCAAAGAATACCCAAATGGCATCTTTAACCAATTCCCCGTTTTGCCCTTATCTTCGCACCCAATTCTCACCTCCACTCGTCCTCGCCTTCACTCGCAGCCTCAAACCCATTCCTTCAAAATCAAAGTCTCTGATTTCCCTCAAAAGAGACAACTCCACTACCTTCACCGTCAAAGCCCTGACCTTGGACTTCTCCGGTTCATTCTTTGAAGGTGGTATCGGTTCTGAAGACGACCCGCCTTCCGAAACCGGGTCCGGCATAACTGCCTTGGAAGATAAAGAGGAACCGCAGTGCCCACCGGGGCTCCGACAGTACGAGAGCATGGCGGTTCTCAGACCCGACATGTCTGAAGATGAAAGACTTGCTCTTACCCAGAAGTACGAGGAGGTAATGTCCTGCAAAATTACTTCTTTTATGTTATTTTCCTTTAAATACTCTTTAAAAGTGAATGTGAATATGTATTCATTCTGGGATCATTTTGCAGCTTCTTGTTGCTGGCGGTGGCATGTATATTGAGGTATTTAACAGAGGGGTGATTCCACTAGCCTACAGCATCAGGAGGAAAAATAAAGCTGGAGAAACCAACACTTACTTGGATGGCATTTACCTTCTCTTTACCTACTTTACGAAACCAGAATCAATGGCGGCTCTCGAGGCGGCGCTCAACGCTGATGATGATGTTATCCGAGCATCCAGATTCAAGATAAGGAAGAGGAAGTATAACTAGATTGGTATGTATGTATCTGTATCTTTGAATGATTAGGAACGAAAGAGCTCTTTCAACTTTTGCAGTTTGAATTTTTTTTTCATCAATAGTTTTTGTTCCTTGAGTGATTCCTTGCTGTAAAATTCCATTGATTATTGACACTAGAAAGAACTTAGTTGCCATTGTTGAACCGAGGTGAAATATTTAGCATTGAAGACCAAATTGAGCAACCTTATTAAGTGTTGTTTACTGTTTTATAGATTGTTTGAGTTGCTTGAATACTTGGTATTGTTCCCAACTAGTTACACTAAAAGAAAAAAATATATATAATTAAACTTCAAATGTACGAATAATACAAATATTAAGTGCATTTGCATATTATTATTTCTTCATTTCCCTTCTAGTGTAGTTCCTGATCTGCTTGTATCACATGGATAAGGGAGAAGCCACTACATGAACAACCGATGCCAAGATCGACGCGGTAATGGTAGTTTTAATAGGCATCCTCCCTTTGTCACGTCTCAACGCCATGGCTTGGTAAACCGGCACGCAATTCATCACGATCATTCCTGTTAAGAGCATCTGCATTTCTAACCCTTCCTTGTTGCTGCCATTGATTAAACGTACAAGCCCCAAGATGAACGATAACAGGTTGATTATCGCCGCCATTGCTAGCGTCACGAACAAGGGCGATGGTACTCCGAACTCGAAAAGCCCTTGCTCGTATCTCTTGCTTTGCTCATCGTCGGTTACCTTGCTGGTCACATTGAAACCCTGAGCTGGAATGCCGATGGATGTGAGCAAGAACTCGGTTAAACCGAACAAGTAACACGAAAGCCCTCTCATCATCCACATTCTCTGGTCACTCCACCATCTCTGCACCGTTCCCCTCTCTACAATGAACTCGAACAAATCTTGCCCGTACGCTCCGAGGAAAAGGAACATGTAAAGCAGAAACCATGGTTCTGAGACCATCGGGAAGATGCTGACTCCATTAAGGAGAGCAAGCTGGGGGAGAAAGGAATATGTAGTGATCGGAATTGAATAAATGGCTAAGAATGCGATGTATGAATAAGCTAGCCCCATCACCGGCCCCTTAGCTTTGACACCATAAGTTATGGTACTGTATCTCGAAAACGCCACCTCAAGTTGGCCGATCACCCACCTCTTGTTTTGGTTAAGAACATCAAGAAGGTTGATGGGTGTATCTCCAAAGAACGCCGGCTTTTCGGGATAGCAGAATAGGGATCTCCATCCTTCACATTTCATACGGTAGCCTGTGTAATAATCCTCCGAAAGTGCTCCATATCTAAATCCAATCTGCAGACATCATACATTGTTACAACAAGCTGTTTCTCTAGGAAAAATAAAATTAAAGATTAGTAGAATTTACTTGGTCACCTTGGATCCCCATTCGGTCTGGTTTTCATAATTGCATCCGGCAACATGGTGTGCCAATTCAATAACAGAATGGGCAGTTATGGGTTGGTTCACCACATAATCAGGGCTTAAATCCTTGGTTTCCGGTAAAATCATAGCTGACGGATCGCCGAATAAAGCTCTCCGGCGGAAGAAACATCCGGTTCCTAGATAATTAGGGCCGGAGAGTCCGTCAAAACCAACCGGATGAACTTTAAACAAACGTTTTTGCTCACAGGCATAAATGTCTTTCTTGGTGATCCCATGGAATTCTTGAGGAAACTGAATGTAAGCCAAATTCTTCTGCGTTTCAGGGTCTAGAACATAACACATGGCTCGGAGAGGTGTTCTTGGATCATTTGAGTACATGTCACAGTCTAGGGTTAAAATTATTGGTGCATTGGACATGACGGCTGAAACTCGGACCTTCAGAAAAAAGGAAAGATAAACATTATTAATGGTAATTGAAGTGATAATTATTCAGTATATATACATTACCAGGGCATTCAGTGCTCCGGCTTTGAAGTGATGAGGAGATGTCTTGCTTTTTTGCCTAGACACATAAACCAGGTTTGGCAAGCAACGGCCTGTGTTGTCTTTGTCTTTATTTTTGTCCAATAAAACCTGAACCACAGCTGGGTGATTTTGACGGCTGAATCCGTCGCTACTCCATTTACTGAAAGCCCTACGTTCTTCATCGCCGGTGATGTGTTCCTCTCCAACTTTCCCTTTTCCGACAATGTGTTCGACTTTCGTTTTCATGCTTTCGTACATTATCTGTAATATATAGGGTTGAAAACCCATGGAAGCACTTATCATGATATACTCATCTTTGATTCGAACAACATAATCAAGGGCGAAATCAAAATTTATTTTGAGGACTAAATAATTTCTTTAGAAATTAAAATTATTACATTAATATCCACTGGTCTTAATTATGACATATTCCAGCATTTATGGAGAAGTGACGTATTCTCTCTCTTTATTCGTTTTTTCTCCGATTTGTGAGTGGCTCAAACTCATCAAGCTAAGTTGATAGAGTTCACAAGGCGATGTGGTACAGTGGTGGGGTCGAGTTTGTCTTACTACTGGACATTTAATTGATGCTCTGGGCAACTTTAGGCAACTTGGACCGTAATGGTGTTTCTTGCCTTGTCGTGACCTCTTGGCAGCTTATGACTGTCTTAAGAGTATATTTAAATTGGTTTAAGTGATTATAAAATATAATTTGTTCTAAATATTTTTAATTATTTGATAATAAACGCTCAATTAATCTGTTGATGTTGGTGCTCGCACCCGTCATTCCTAAGAATAATAACGATTCGTTTAACCACTTAGGTAATTTGATTCGTACGATAAATAATTAGTTTAATTTAAGAATGGGGTTACCTTAATCTTCTCAGATTCAGAGCTCCTCCAATAATTGGTTGCAAAATGTTCATCTGGGCTCCGTGTTGCTATATCGTTATCCCTGCAATATGGTAACCAGTGCGCAGCAAACCTCGCGGCCTCCATGAAAGCAAAGAGAGTTAAAGCCGATCCTCCATCGTCCGATACATACACCGATATTTTCTCCGTCGGATAATCGTACGCCATCACTGATAAGGCGGTGTTCACCACACCCATCGGAGGTTCCTTGTACGGGTCCGCCGTGCAGATGAACACGTCCAGCCCCGGCAAGTCACTTGTTTTCACCACCTTTTCGATGTTTTCCGGGAACTCTTTGCGATACACCGGACGCATGCGGAAAGCTTGTCCGTTGGCCCACATGAAGGCCAGGACAAGATCGGAGAAGAACAACGCTAGGGTTACGTAGAAAGAAACTAGTGTTTTGGAGCCGAGGAGTGTTTGTGTGTGGCGGTAGAACAAAGCTACGATGGCACATGCGTAAACTGCCGCAAACGCACGGTTGAAGCCTGTCCGACGGGAGGGTGTAAGTGTGTTGAGCAGCGGAGGAGGAGAACTGGCGGCGCTCATGTCGGTGCAATCTCGTAGACTAGCTAGACTCTCTGTATTTGCCGGCGAGTTGAAATTAACTTAAAGTATCATTATCACCGCAGTCACAGAGACAATGTTATATATAAACAAATCATTGGAACGAGCTCGTGCGACTTTGTGACCGGCACACGCGTGAAAGTATTTGATGGGACTCGGGTCTTAGCTGTTTCTCTAGGAAAAATAAAATTAAAGATAGTAGAATTTACGTAGTCACCTTGGATCCCATCCGGTCTAGTTTTTTAATTGCATCCGGCAACATGGTGTGCCAATTCAATAACATAAATAATATTATATAAATAACTTTCAAATATATGTAGACACCGTTTTTGTTCGGGTCAAAAAATATATATTATATTAGTATTATTATTATTTACATGTATTACATATTTTGTGTAGTCCCAAATAGAGCCCATTACAACATCAAGCCCAAATACAAGTGAATGGCAATTACAACAATGGACCTAACACCAAGTCAAACCCGAATCGGCCCAAGACCCAACTCAATTCAATTGACTCGACCCGAGGTAAATAGGGTTTCAAAACCTTAACCCTAAAGATTCAGCTGCCACCAGCAAGGAGATTCGAACCGTCCACCCAGATGCGTGTGATACACGCGCCGACTCTTCAACGCCTAAACTGGCATGTGAACCGTCACTGAGCCACATTGTCGTCATCACCTACATCAACAACCATCAAATCTCACTAAATCCATTAAAAAAACAAACAAATTCCAAAAATTAGGTATTTACCTACTACACTCAACAATACCCTACCACTAAATCTCATGATATCTAAACCAAATACCAACCATAAATGGCCAAGGGCATTCGGTGATGAGAATAAAAAAGGAAAAAGGAAAATAGGAGATCACCATAAAAAGGGAAGAGGAAATCGGGAAAGGAGGAGGAAAAAATATATAAAAGGTTGAGAAAGCACGGAAGCACTCACCTTTGATCCCAATTACATAGCTAAGGGCGAAATAAAAAATTATTTTGAGGACTAAATGTAAATTACTTTTTTTTAGAAATTAATTTATCCATTGGACTAATTATGAGTTTATGACATAATTTGGACAAATATCCCAGCATTTATGGAGAAGTGACGTACTCTCTCGTTCTCTCTTCGTTCTTTCTCCGATTTGTGAGTGGCTCAAACTCATAAAGTTGATCGCGTTCTCAAGGTGATGGGATACGTAGAGATGGACTGATTAAATTTATATGTTTTTTAATATTTTTTATATTTTTATTATAAATTTATGTTTTTCTTTTAAACTTTTATGAGTTAATATTCATTAATTTTTTTAAAATTTATTTCCTTATATAATATCATAATCCAGCCATGAATCCTGAAATATTTTTTTAAAGTCTGCACACATATATTAACAAAGTAAAATTTTTAAATAAAATAAATATAAATAAAATTTTAAAATAAATAATATCAATAAAATAATTAATTAATAAAAAAAATCATATTTTAAGATAGACATTATCCATCCTCACTAAGCTGCGGCTCCGCTGGTAGGGGAAACTTATAATTGAGCTCTGGGCAACTTTTGGCAACTTGGACCGTAATGGTTTGTTTTCTCCCTTATCTCGACCTCTTTGCTATCTACGGTTGTTTTCTTTAGTTGAACGAAATATATGTAGTTGTATGATATATTTACCTTGGCTGTAGGGGTCAGAGTGTAAATTTTTATTGTATTAAATTATCAATTTATAATTTTTTGGGAACTGAACTAAAAATATGCCTGCCATGTTTTTTCTTAATAAAAGTAATAATTTTTTATAGCGGTCAGAGTATAAAATATAGAGGGAAATAATTAGCTTAGTTTAAGAACGGGGTTACCTTAATCTTCTCAGATTCAGAGTTCCTCCAATAATTGGTTGCAAAATGTTCATCTGGGCTCCGTGTTGCTATATCGTTATCCCTGCAATATGGTAACCAGTGCGCAGCAAACCTCGCGGCCTCCATGAAAGCAAAGAGAGTGAAAGCCGATCCTCCATCGTCCGATACATACACCGATATTTTCTCCGTCGGATAATCGTACGCCATCATTGATAAGTCGGTGTCATAACCGGTTTTCGTCCGGACACGAAATATTTATTTTGGCGGGGAAATTGATGTGAATAAATGGTTTTGAAAATAATTTGGGAGTCGCCATTGGCCTTTTGGGTCAGGTAGGTCGAATACCTAAAAAATATCTTTTAAAAGAGTTTTTAAGAAAACATCAATTAAAAGATAAACTGATCTGCGTTTTAACCAAAAATTCGTTCTTTTTAATAATAAAAAGGGATTCGTGGTCGGTTACGTTTAGGGAAGGATTAGCACCCCTACAACGCTCAAAATTGGTACTTTTTAATTATAAATTGTCTCTATTATTAAAATTTTAAAAATTCAAAAATATATTTAATTTATAATTCTATTATTTCAAAATTATATAAAAAAATATTTATTTAAAAATATCAGAAAAGAACTTCTAGGTGCCTTAAGACAGCTCTTTTCTTTGATATTGATAAATATTAATTTAAATAATATTGTTTACTTTTTAATTTTAAAATATCAGAATAGGACATCCAATTGTATTAAGACTGTCATTTTCTTCGATATTAAAATAAATATTTAAAAATTACTATTTATTATATATATATTTATGAATATATAAAAATATTTATTCATATAATAAAATAAAAATAAAAATACTACTAAAACAATATATTTAAAAACAATAAAATAAATGAAAACATATAAAATAACTGACTAAATTACAGTAAAAATAAAATTAAAAATCTAATTCATAATTAATCAAAATTATAGGGATTAAATATGTTATTTTCTTATTTAATAATTTAGTGACTAAAATAAAATCATCTAAAATTCGGATATTATAATAAAATAAATTAAAAATATAAACTAGGGATTAAAATATTATTTATTAAAATTAAGGGATTAATTCTGTTATTTAACCTAAATATATTATTTTAATAAAAAGGACTAAAATGAATAAAATTGAAATTCGAAGACTGAATTAAAAATATTATAAAATCGATTTAGTGACTAAAATGTAATGTTTACAAATTAGGAGGACGGCGGACGGGGTTTAACTATTGTCTAATTACGCACATAGTCCTTCCCGAAACGACGTCGTTCGGGAAGGACTATAAAAGGTCCAAACCGGCTGGCCCGAAGGGCCAGTCTTCATTTCTACTTCTCCTCTCTCTCTCTCTTTGAGAGAAAAAAAAATTTTCTCTCGCTTCTCTCTAGAACAGAGAGAAGCCAGTCGGCCGGCAGCCGTCAGTCGGCGTTCGTCCGCCGTCAACCACCGCCGCCGGCCACCGTCTTCGGTGGCCGGAAATTTTTTTTTACATCTAAACATAGATCGGACCGTCCTAATGACGGTTCCGATGCTCTTTTCCGTTAAACGGCTCCCAATCGGAGCAAATCTAAAAGAATACCTTCGGTTTTTCGAAGGTTTTGATGAGATCCGGCGTTTGGCTTCCTCGGTAAGTCTTTCTCTTCCTTTTTCTTTCTTTTCTGTTTCTTTGCTACTGATTGTTGAGATCGTTGGTAGTTTTTAGTATCTAGTTTCTTTGTATCTCTCTCGGTTTCCTGTGTAGTCTCTGTCTCCCTCTTTTTTTTTCAGGTTCGGGTGGTGGCTTTTATAGCCACCACCGGTGTGGCCATCGGACCGGTCCGAAGAGGGGGTCTCGGTGAGTCACCGGACTGCCAGTAGTGACTCACCCCGTAGCTATGGCGTGGACGGCTGGTGTTCTAGCTTCTGGAGTCTTCGGTTGGGACGTGGCAGCGGCGGAGGCGGCGAAAGAGTGTCGGCAGCCGCGTGGCCCTAGGGTATCAGACCCTAGGGTTTCCATCTGGAGCCATCTGGACCGTTGGATCTTGCCAGATCCAACGGCAGCAAGCTGAGGCGGCTGGTTAGATTAGGGTTAGGAAACCCTAACTGAAACCCCCAAATGTTTAGGGTTTCTGGTTTGATCTGGACCGGTTCTGGTTTGTTTGTAACTGGGCCGGTCCAGTTGTAATTGGTCTGTAATTATTATTTATATATGTATTTAATATATTTAATAATAATAATAATAATAATAATAATAATAATAATAATAATGATGATAATAATAATAATAATAATAATAATAATAATAATAATAATAATAATAATAATAATAATAATAATAATAATAATAATGATGATAATGATATGGGTAAAAAATTAGTATCTTCAGCTGCCCCTCTTTGCTCATTCTTGTGTTAACAAGAATAGGGCAAAGATGAAAAGATAATAAATTTTTTTATCCATTTGGCTTCACTTGATCATAATGGAGATATTGAATAAATTCTTCTCTTTCTTCAGATGAGTTCTTCTCATTATGAACTTTCTGCTGGGGATGATACTGACCTCTTTCTTTCTGTGATAGAGACATTCAAAAGGTTGAATAATCTCTTGATGAGTTCTTCTCATTATGAACTTTCTCTAGAAAGGCTGATGCTAATCTATCTCCTTCTGCGATAGAATTATGCAAAAAGTTGAACAAGTTCTTCTTATTATGAACTTCTTCTTTCTTCTTCAGATGAGTTCTTCTCATTATGAACTTCTCCGGAAAAGATAATCCATCAATTGATGAATTCAGGTAAAAGATTGAACAAATTCTTCTAATTATGAACTTCTTCTTCCTTCTTCAGATGAGTTCTTCTCATTATGAACTTTCTCTGGAAAAGATGATCCCTCAAATGATGGATTCAGGTAAAAGGTTGAACAAATTCTTCTCATTATGAACTTCTTCTTCCTTCTTCAGATGAGTTCTTCTCATTATGAACTTTCTCTGGAAAAGCTGATCCCTCAAATGATGGATTCAGGTAAAAGGTTGAACAAATTCTTCTCATTATGAACTTCTTCTTCCTTCTTCAGATGAGTTCTTCTCATTATGAACTTTCTCTGGAAAAGCTGATCCCTCAAATGATGGATTCGAATCTTTGCTAAAATCTTTGAAATTCCTGTTAAAAATTCAACAAGAATAAAAATGAATGAAAATGCACCTAT